CCTCTTTTACCTTTAATTATTTTTGAAATACCTATTTTACCCCTGTGTATCTAGCCATGTTTTGAATCTTGTTCATTCTTTTTATTTTAAACTTCTGGCTTTTTAGTCTTTTCTACTCCTAAATTTTCTTTTCCCTCTCATCTCACTGATTCCTCCTTCACTTCTGCCCTAATCTTATTTTTCTATTTCTCTACCTCTCAAACTCTCCTCTCCCATAGCATCTCCTTGGCCCTAATCATTCGACCCTGTCTCTCCCTTCTTCTTCAAGCATTATGTGAACTCTACTGCTTTAGTCTTGTCAATGTTTGCGTTTCTTCCACTCTTGGGGTCATCTGCATAAGCCTTGTCAGTGTTCACGTCTCCCATAGTGTTCTTCACCTTCTCATTTCATTCTCCTATCTTTCTCCTTCCGTCCTCTTTGATTTAGGTATTTCTCTTCCTTTATTTTTTTTTCGTTTAATTTAGTTTCATGTATAGTAGTTTAGGTTTTTGGAGGTACACCATTATTAGTATTAGAGTTGAATTGAGAAAGATTGAGATTAGTGATAGTCTAAGTAGAACTCTTGTTTGATTGAGTTGATTTTATGGATTGGTGTTACTTCAAGTTTCATTTTGCTTTATTCAATCTTTAAAGAGTTTATGCTGTGATTGTTTATTGCAATGTGATTGGCATTGAGTTTGACTTTGAATTTTTGTAAACCTGAAATTATTGTTGCTCTTTTGAAAAATTTTGATCACGCATTCTGCCTGATCCATTTTCAAAAATTCAAAGGCAGTTTATAACTTTGTGAAAGTAGTTATGTGAATTAATTTTCTCAAGAAAGGTTTTGTGACTTGGCAGCACTTTCAACTTTGAAAAAGATTTACTGAAAATCTATTTTGTAAAGCTTTGAATTAAGCATAGGTATCTATTGATGGATACCTCTTTTTGAAACTTATTTTCAAAATTTTGTGCTACTAATGGTTGCTTAGGGTTGAAATGAAGAAGAGGATTTGAGTCAAGGTAACATTAAAGTGAAGGTGGATTAGATTTCAGTGGTGATAAAAGTGTGATTTGTTGGGATTGAGGAATACATAGCATTCTAGTCATTTATGATCTTAATCTTTGATCTAAGTTTAGGAGAGAGCTTTTTTTTTCTTTTAAGGTAGCTTAGTGTTCTTTTCCTTTCGTCTTGTGTTGTGATTGGTTTGTTTGCTTAGTTTGTGTGCGACGTGATTTGTTTCTTTTGTGCAGGAAAAAATGACCCTAAAGAAGAAAACCCGCTTTGCACCTCCTGAACCCCTCATCAAAGAACTGGTTAGCAATAGAGGGTTGCATCAAGATTGAGAGTTCCCTTGCACAAGTATATTTGCATTTTGTAAAAAGGCAAGGACTACAATTGCTCTACCTAATCAAACTAAAAACAGTGGGAAATGAAAAATTTGCCTGGAAGTTCTACACCAGTGCAGCTTTAGAGGGTGCCTTGGTAGCAATGTTTCGCTTGGACACAATCACTATTAATATGGGGTAATCGTAGACTTTTACAAGTTGCTTACATTTGAGGAGTGTAAATACAAATGGTATCTGGATAACCCAAGTGAGTTTCCTTTTGATGACACTTTTGAAATTAAAAGGAATGTCTTTTTTATTTTATAAAAATTTCAACAGAATTTCTCCTTAAATATAATGAATACCAAATTATTTAAACAATGGACAAATCAATCAATCAACTAACCAACAATATAAGAAATAAATACAAAGTAAATTTGTACAATTTTAACTAATAAAACAAAAGTAATAATCTCAAACCAATTCAACAAATAAAGATTCTTAAAGCTAAATTTTTTTAATCTAAAACGGAAATACATATGATATCCATTTGCCATAAAATTTTAAACAACACTTTATCATCAATGAAAGTTCATAATAGAAAAAAAAATTGGCCAAAACACTTAACAGATTATTTATTGGTAAATTCTCAAAGTTTATCACAAAAATTTGAAATAAAATATCAACAAATTATTTAAAAAAATTATAAACTTAAGAACTAATCAACTTTAAAGATTTAAACATGTTTCTAATGTTGTATATAGTAAGTAATTACAGTTTTCTAATTCCAAATATCACCAACGAACTCTCCAAACATAAAAGATACTTTCTTAAAGCTAAAACTCCTGAATCTAAAACGGTAACACAAATGATATCCATTTACAATGAAATTTTAAACAAGACTTTATCATCAATCAAAGTTCATAATAGAAAAAAATTGGCCAAAACACTTAATAGATTATTTATTGGTAAATTCTCAGTTTTTTTCTAATAAAAATTTGACGACATTCAAAATAAAATATCAAAAAATTATTTAAAAAATTACAAACTTAAGAACTAATCAACTTTGAACATTTAAACATGTTTCTAATACTGTGTATAGGAAGTAATTGCAGTTTTCTAACTCTAAATGTTACCAACCAACCCCTCAAGCACATAAGAAATGCAAAATAAACAATGCAAAATATCCAAAATGTAAAACCAATCAACCCATTTACTGTATAACATATTTCTATTATCAAAACATCTAAGACACCAAGAACAAAGAAAAGAAAAGAAAAGAATGAATGACGAGGAAACTCACTCAGTGGAAGATGAGTAAAACACGAGAAAAGGCGAGTATAAACGGCGAAAGATGGCAAAAAGCAACAACAAGGCAAATGGAGGTCTAAACATAGCAGAAAATGATGAGGATTTACCAAAAATGTAGTTTGGGTAGTGGGATAGAGGGGGACCACAGTGCTCTGTAGCTGTGAAAACGAAAACGCACAATAAGGTTAAGTTTTAAACTTTTCACAGTGATTATTAAGATTAATAACCGTCGTGGAAAGTTCTTTTAATGGTGGTTATAAATGGCGGTTATACTTTATAACCGTCGTTAAAAGAACTTTCCACAGTGATTATCTAAATAACTGCCATGGAAAGTGAAACATCATGCATTTTATTTTCCAAAATGTTACCACCTTTTTTTCCACAACGTTTTTCTTTATAAGCACCGTTAAATTGCGTCGTTATATGTGTTTTTTGTAGTAGTGAATTTATGGGAAAATAGTCACTTTCACCCTAGAAATTAGCTTTAAAATTAATTAAGGGAAATAAACTTTTCCATAAGCTTTTTAAATACTCAAAATTAATATTTTATAATATTTTTCCAATTTTTATAGGCACTAAATAATTTTAATAATTATTTTTCTGCTTTATTTCTTTAAAATTTTCACCCAAAAATAGGATTTTTGGCCAGTAGTATAATCTTGAGGCTATAGTCCTTAAAATAATTCATTGAGTCTCATAGATACTTAATAGCCTATTTTTGAGAGCATTTTTGAGATATTGTATTGGTCATCTTGAACAACTTTTCATATTTATAATATGCCTTTAGAAATGTTCCTTCCCTTCATAACCCCAATCACTTACCTTAAACAACCTTTCTTGATAAAATTCCACCTAAGCTTTATAAGTTGTTAGCTTAGTTTTTTTTTTTAACGTTACATGTCTATTTGTGGTCATGATATGATTCTATTATATTGAATGAAAATATTATGTGTTGGCGGCCCCAGAAATTTTTCCCCCCAAAAAACTCGTTCATTAATATTATGAACACAAGTTCAAAGAGAGTTTAATCCCCCCCCCCCCCCAAAAAAAAAAGAAGCTTATTAGAAGAGAACTCCTTAAATTTATACACCATACTACACTCGTGAGGCTCTTCACTTTTTCAAGAAAACTCATCCAAGACTTGTGACAACATGGAACTATGGATGTTCACCTCCCTAGAAAGATATTTTTCTCAAGCTGTGCAAAGATATCTTTTCTGAAATTTTATTCAGACCTGCCTTAACTACCTAGTCTTGTGAGGAAGAAATTATCAAAGCCCAAAAGTGTTTTCTTAAACAGTTCCACGTTCACTTCACACAACCACATCCATTATTTTCTCCATTAATATTATTGTTGAGCGTTGGAGGGAGCCATGACCACCATCATCTTTAATTATACAGTCTCGCTACATGTGCATCGGTCTAAATACACGTAAAATAGGTCTAGCTCGTGAAAGCCTAAAAAGATCAGTTTACTGGGGAGAAAAAAAAGACAAAAACAACCCAAAGACTTTACAGGAAATAGAAATATTATATAATTTTCAATCTGGACTGTCTTAGCATGCCCTCCCAAAGACAGATTAGTAATCTGGACTCGCAAATGCATGGTCTTCAACAGAACAACATTGCACACACTGAAGAAAGACTTAAAGTAAGTCAGTTAAAGAGTATTATTACAAATATATCTGTCCCTTTTTTGAGCTATTTATAACTGACTTAAGAAATTTACTGGTCTGGATGGAAAAAGAAAAGAAAGACATGACCCCGTCTAAAGCAGTATTTGCTGGTCTGGAAGGATATTTTTCTCAAACAGTGCAAAGATCTTTTCTGAAATTTCATGGGAACCTTAAACATAGTCTCGTGAGAGGAAGAAAGGCCAATGACTTTTCCTTTTGGCAAGATCAAGACCAAAGACCTTGAACAGGTCCCATAGCTTAGTTTCTCGTTGTGTGTCCCTATCGCACTTCACAATCACCATTTAGTTTCTCGTTGTGTGTCCCCATCACGCCTCACAATCACCATTGATATTGTTGCCCTAGGGACCCATATGACAGCCATCACCTTAAGTCGTATCATTTTAATTTACTCAGAAAAGAGAAAACCCAAAGCCCTAGTACACACACGCGTACACACAAAGTAAATTATAATTTTTTGAACAGAAATATCATATAATTTTCAATCTAGGATGTCTTAATTACTTCTTTGACAGAGAAACGCTGCAGAAAAGCAAGACTTTATTGTAAGCGAGTCCTATACCTTTTGGACGACTCACCTAACCAGTATATCTGACATGTTAAGAGGTACTATAAATATCTGTGCCCTTTTAGCTCAGCTACAGTATAACCGACTTGAGAAATTTGGCCCCAGCTTTATCCCTTGCCCCGTTACCACCATGAAGCCTTATTCTGCGAAAGCCCTAATTCTGATAAATGTTCCATTGTTTCTTCTATTGGTGCTTCATTCTTCTTGCCATTCTCTTCATAGAATAACCCCAAGCCAGCCCCTCAAAGACGGCGATGTTTTGCTCTCAAATGGAGGAGCCTTTGCCCTCGGTTTTTTCACTCCTAGCAACAATTCAAGAAAGCGCTATGTTGGAATATGGTTTGCAAGATCCTCTAAACCAGTTGTTGTGTGGGTTGCTAATAGACAGACTCCTCTCAATAATACTTTTGGAGTTTTGTCCATTGATGTCCATGGGAACATCGTTCTCGTTTACAATGATACTAATCTAAATAGAAATGCCCCCATTTGGTCTTCCAGTGTTTCTTTCTCATCTTTTAGTCACACCTTTGCCGAGCTTCAGGACACTGGAAACTTGGTTTTAATCAGGAATAAAGGGAGGCCAATATGGCAGAGCTTTGACTACCCTGGTGACACGATGCTTCCGTTCATGAAAATTGGGGTGGACCTGAGAACTGGTTTTAATTGGTCCATGACATCATGGAAATCCCCAGACGACCCAGCAATGGGGGACGTGACTCACATAATTGACCCAATAGGTTATCCTCAACTGTTCTCGCTTAAAAATGGAGCTCCATTTTGGCGAGGTGGGTCTTGGACGGGTCAGAGATTTAGTGGAATACCACAAATGACGCCCAACTTCATCTTCAACGTCACTTATATTGACAATGCCACTGAAGTTAGCACTGAGACCCGAGTCATGGACCCTTCAATATTCTTAATAACGTTGCTAGACAACACTGGCCATGTGACACGAACTATTTGGCGAGCTAAGGAGAATAATTGGCTCCAAGTTTGGTATGGTCCGACGGAGGACTGTGACCACTATTGTTGGTGTGGGTCGAATAGTAAGTGTGACCCATATAATATGAACAAGTTTGAGTGTGTGTGCTTGCCCGGATTCGAACCCATGAACCCATATGAGTGGAATATGAAAAATGGGTCAAGTGGGTGTGTGAGGAAGAAGAATGTGTCCACGTGTCGTAGCGGGGAGGGGTTTGTGAAAGTGGCACATGTGAAGGTGCCAGATACATCAAAGGCACGTGTGGATAAGAGCGAGAGTATGAACTTGAAAAGTTGTGAGGAAAAGTGCCTGAGGGATTGTTCGTGTGTAGCGTATACGAATGCGGATGAGGTCAAAGAAAGTGGGTGTTTGACATGGCATGATGATATGGAAGACATCAGAACATTCGAAAATGTGGGCCAAGATTTGTATGTGCGTGTGGATGCAAATGAATTGGGTAAATTCTTCACTTTCACTTCTTTTATGTTTTTCTTATTAACAGTACAAAATTTAAAGCCAAAAAGAACTTTTAAGTAATATAGATGTAATTTGTGTATTTGTGATCATATTATTAAATTCTGATAAAACCACAAAATTCATAAAATAATTTATTTCTTTTTGAAATATGCCCTGTTCTCTAAAATTTTTCTTCATTCAATTAATATTAACTAATTTTTTTAATTTTAAGAGATTGTTTAATGAGAATAGTATTTTATTTATTTTAATTATAAAATTTATTTTGGTCATTGTATACCATTTTATAACATGCAGGCTGATTATTATTTATATTGATGATATATTAGCCAAAAATCATCATTGATAATGATTATATTTGCAAGTGATCAATTGAGAGAAAATTATATGTGAGGGACAAATTGGGAAGATAAATAGTCGGAAGTAGAAGATCTGGGGCCTTTAATGTGTCCCCCTCTAATATCTGTTGTGGTGTCCTAGCCTCCCGACCTTTAATGTGCCTCAAAATTTTAGGGTATTTTTTCTTTGAAAAATTTTAAAATTGCACTATTTTTTTACTCAAGATATCAGTATGCACTAATTTTATGTAAAATTCAATGATCAAAAGAAAAATTAAAAGAAAATATTTGCAAAATTAGCATCATAATGGACAATAAAGAGTATCAGAGGAATGCACATTTGAGGCCTCAAGCCCGAAGCTGAATGTTTTAGGCACAAATTCAAAATAAAGACGCGTCTTTATCCAAACTATGTATAGATGGATCTTTAAATCTACATACTGAGATGATCTATGGTAAGAAGTATCATTTTCCCACACTAGTAAAAGTATATTCATTGAACCTCTCTCAAAAGTATCATGATAATTCATTGGGGGGGCATTTTTAAGCTTATATTAGTTGTTTGAACTTAAATTCCTCTTTGGTGTATTATTGTTTGCAGCTAGATATGAAAGGAAGCATTATGGTTCTCTTGGCAAGAAGGGGATGATGACCCTCATAGTTATTTCTATTTGCTTGATAACATTCTTGGTCATCTCTTTCTTATGTTGGTTTGTAATAAAGAACAGGAATCAAGGTGAGCTTTATTTCCATCATTTCGCCCACAAAATGAAGTTTGTTGAGTTGATAAAATCTATACACTGCACTAAACTTACTTGAAGATTTGTCTTTTTAATCTACAGTGGTGATTAATTGGCTGTATTACAACTCATCTCTTACATCTATTTTTTCACTTTTTATTTCACACAGCAAAAGGAATGCACGGAGAATATTTATTTGACGGAGAAGACAATTCCAATTTAACTCTATTTGACCTAAAGGACATAATTGAGGCAACAAACAATTTCGCAGACGCTAATATGCTTGGAAAAGGTGGCTTTGGTTCAGTATATAAGGTAGATGTTCTATGTATAAATAGTCTGAAATTTCATAAATTGGATTAACATTGTTTTCAATGCCATTAGCTTATTATTTATAGTAGTGGTTTCATACAACAAAGATAAAATGCATACATTCATGAATTAAATTATGGATTTTGACATCAGGGTCTACTTAAAGATGGAATGGAAATAGCAGTTAAGAGGCTATCAAAGTATTCTGGACAAGGCATCGAAGAATTCAGGAATGAGGTTACTTTAATTGCAAAGCTCCAACATAGAAATCTTGTAAGGATCTTAGGTTGTTGCATAGATGGAGAACAGAAGATGTTGATATATGAATATTTGCCAAACAAAAGCTTGGACTCCTTCATATTTGGTGTGTCTTCTTCTCATTTAATTTGTCTACATATATAAGATTTTGTCAAAATTTACAGTTGTTGAAAATGAGAGAATTGATCAAGCGATATTCTTTACTTCTAATAGTTTATCTCTTTTATCTAGATCAAGCAAAAAAATTACAATTAGATTGGAGGAAAAGATTTTACATCATTTGTGGAGTTGCAAGAGGAATTTTATACCTTCATCAAGACTCAAGATTAAGAATAATTCACAGAGACCTAAAAGCTAGCAATGTCTTGTTAGATCTTGCAATGAATCCTAAAATTGCAGATTTCGGTATGGCAAGAATATTTGGTGGTGACCAAACTGAAGCAAACACAAACCGTGTTGTTGGAACTTAGTAAGTACTCTATAGCTCATATTACTTCAGTTCCCTAGCATTGCATTACACGTACATATGCCTAGTTTCCACAAGTTCGAAAAATACTAGTAACACTGAAAGCTACACTTTGAGTACTTCGTTGGGAATGATTTTCTACAATTCAATATCTGTATATAAATAATGTAAATTTCAATGCTAGAAAATCCATTTTTCTTAGTCAAATATCATTTCAAACACGAGCTAGATAGGTTTGTGATTTATTCCAGCCCATTCAAATTCAAAGTCAATATATTCATATGACAAAATATGCTAGAAATAATAAAAAAAACAATTCAGTGCTATAAAACCAAGTATCTCTAGTCAGAATGATTATTGACAAATTTCATTAATATTTTGCAGTGGTTATATGTCGCCAGAATATGCAATGGAAGGAATTTTTTCAATAAAATCAGATGCGTACAGTTTTGGAGTTTTACTTTTGGAGATTGTTACTAGTAGAAAGAATAGTGGTCATTATGATGACATTACTTCTACTTTGGTTGGACATGTAAATACAGATAATGAACAACTTGAGTTAAGTTTGCTCTTTTCTAATAGTCCGCTTGCTTAATGAATTCAATCATTTCAGATTTGGAATCTTTGGAGAGAAAGCAGAGCTATGGAGATTATTGATCCATCGTTAGTAGGTGATCCATGCCTTGAACATGAAGTTCTCAAATGCATTCATGTTGGACTTTTATGTGTGCAAGAATATCCAACAGATAGGCCTACCATGTCAGAAGTTGTTTTCATGTTGGATAATGACTCAACTCTTCCTCATCCAAAGCAACCAGCATTTCTTTTCAAGAAAACTAATTGTGATGATTCAAATCCGTCAATCAGTGAAGGAGTTAATTCAGTTAATGAGATGAGTACTACTGTGATTGAAGCTCGCTGAAAATCATCACTCTCTTATAATTGGTAATGCTCTTCCAATGCTATGATATACTTGTGATGAAGTGATGGATATATTTTACGATTTTTAAAACATTGTGAATGATAATAATGCATATATGTTTTTGCATTGAAGTCAAGTGTGAATCGCAATGATGCATAGATTTTTTTTTTCCTATTGCGGTTACAAAATAAATGATGTTTAAAACTTGCTTAGTTATCAAGCCTGGTTTTAGTTGTTAAGTACCAGCAGTATTGGACATCTTCTTCCGTGTACCATTTTGTTGCCATACATATACGGCATAGCCCCAAATTAATTGTCCTTGAAATTTAGGGTTATAAAGCCAGACATAACCTCAAAATTAATTGAACAAAATTTTTCGTGTTAATTACACAATTTGCTTCGAAAATTCTATGTGCGAGAGGTAATTAATAACGGTAAAATTTCAAATATTTAATACATTTTTAATATCTATAAAAAAGACACATTCTCAATATAAAAATAATAATAAAAAGAGTTAAGGTGTAAATTTATCCTAAAAAATTTTTACTAAAAAGCGCTGGATATCAGAAAGTTCTTTTGGATTCAATTTCACCTTAGAAGTTTTCAAATCGTAGCAATTTCATCCCAGCCATTATCCAGATTAAATTTGACTATTGGTTGGCTAGATACACTGAGTTAGCAAGTCCTTATAGTTTCACCTGATCTTTAATCATGTCTCTAAATTTCTTTATTCATTCTATAAATTATAATAATATTCTTTGATAAATATAAAATATAATATTATCTAATATTATCCGATAAACAATAATATTCTATAATAAGATATTACAAGAGTAATTTTATTTTAATATTTATTTAGAATTTTGAATTAAACTTATATAGTTAATTATATTAGTTATTTTTTATTATCATTAATTTTAAATGTATTATTAATAATTTATATTTGAATATTATTTATATAATTATTTTAAATTAAATTATAAAATAAAATTTAAAATATATAGGGACTTTAATAAAAATCAGGTTAAACTATAAAAATCAAATAAAAAGGAAAATAAATGCAAGATCTAATTAAAAAAATTGAAGTATAAGAACCTGATAAAAAGAATTAATGGTCCAAGATTTTCAATAATTATTTTTTTAATCTCATATTCTTAATTTTTTTAGCAAATAACTTGCTAAACAAAACTCCTTGTACTATTGCTGTCAGCCTGTCACATCTTACAAAATTTAACCTTAATAATGGTAATGAAAAATTTAGTCAAAGGCCAATAGGAAAAGTAGATTAGCTAACGTAGCCATGCATGACATAAAATCCAAATAGGATCAGGACTAGTATTTTCATAACATCCGGTATAGGTTGGACAAACTGCAAAGGGGGTATTAGAAAAATTAAAAAATTCCACAAAAATAGAAAAAAATTGGAGATTTGAGGATTTAGAATAGTATATGAGGCCACAGAGGTGAAAAAGGGGTAAAAATAATTTATTACAGAATTTTCAAGATTTATCAGTATTTTATGACCTAATAAGGTTTTTTTGTCATAATTAATTACTTGAGTTACCCCAAGGCCTCAATAAATTTGAAAAAATATGAAAAAATTATTTAGAATATTATTATGAATTTAAAAATTATCTTGGGTCTCAGGATGTGAAGGAAATTATTTTTTGATATTTTATGATGAAACTTTATTGGTAAGACTTGATTTTGGAGAAAATTCAATATAGAAAATTAGAGGTGGAAATAAATTTCAGAAACATCCATGAGACCTTTTAATATTAAAAGAGAATTTTTTATGGGGAAAAATAAATTTTTGAAGGCCCATAACTATTTTTGAAAATAGTAACCGATATTATGAGTTTTAGTTGAAAATTGATAATTTGTGATTGGATCACATTTCTCTATCTCTTTAATAGTTTTTTAACTCATTTTGGGCCAAGAAAGCCCATAAAATTTGTGTAGCCCATGGTCCCTCTTGCCAAGAGAGTTTAAACCCAATTTAAGCCCAAAACATATAAGAAAAATCAAAGACAAAGGGACATTTGGCGTGACCTAAAAATTAAGGGTTATGAACAGGAACACATGTCTCTTTAGATGGCAGAAAATGAGGCCATTGGAGGAAGAAATGGTCAGCTTATGAGGTTTATAAATACTCCCCTAAAAGAGTGAAATGGCCAAAATTAGGAAAAAGAAGAGAAATTTTGTTCAACTGAAAACTCAACCTTAAAGAGCACCTAAACCTTCCAAAGTAAGAGAAAATCATCAAGCTTTAAGCAAGGACCCATTAAAGTATGTCTAAGCTTGATTTTGGCTAGATTTAATGGTTGTTTTGGTTGAAATTTCATGACAAAGCCTAAACTAACATGTTGCCAATTTTTTGTCACTATGAGGAAACATTATGAAAGGATAGAAACCATGAATATGAGCTTGGAGTGATATGTTTGATTGATGTTTGGATTGAATTTTGGAAGAAAATCAAAGTTAGGGTTTTAACCATACTATACGGCCACTATGTGTTCTTAAGATTAGAGATTGTTTTAATGTGATTTGATGATTTCAATGAGTTTAAAAGGTATTTTGTGCAAAAAAATACAAAAAAAAAGTATTTAAAATCATTAGAATCAAAAATGAAAATTTTGAACTGCTAAACCCTACTATTCGGCCAAAGCAAGTTAAAGGGGAAGGAATGTGATTTTGTTAAATCTGATTTGATTATTTGAATTTTACATGAAAAATTATGTAGGAATGACTCAAGAGATTGGTTGAAACAAAGATAAAATAATAATGTTAAAAATCAAAGAAACAGGGGTTTATGAGTTTATTGTTAAACAATGGTATTCATGCTTGGATTATTAGTAATCTGGAATGTATTTATGCTTGGATTGATAGGCATTGTGCAAAACAACCAAAAGAAGCATCAAATACCTAAGGAGGCTGAATTGTATACCTAAGAAAGAGGCAACATTGAATTCATAATTTGATTGCTTTCTTGCTTGTTTAAATGTATATGTGTTATTTGTTTTATGTTGCCATGATGTGATTGACTAAGCAATATGTTTATGTGTGAAATTCTATGTCAAATATGCCTTGGCAATATGTAATGTGGAATGGCAAAATAGTTGATTTATGGCTCTCTTTCCATGGCAATTGATAAGGACATGAAGTGTTGCATGATAACCTAAGTTTTACGATAACATGTCACATTTTTAGATAGCATGATTAGCATGATAATTGTGATTTAGTGCTACTGAGATTTCCTATGAAATCTTATTCCTCTATGTTCAATTATTCATCAAATAGGGGTTGGATCAAGCCAGGAGATTATCTTGGGAGACAATTGAGTTTAGTGCCTCTTGAAAGAATGTTGTATTTATGCATGAATATTTATGGATTATTGAGAATTATTGTGGATTTTTAATAATGATCAAGAATGTTATACGTGTGGATACTTGATTAAGAAATCATGTTTAAGCATGTGAAATGTGTTTAGAATGGTTCTATGGAATCAAAAGATGAGAAAAATCAAGAATTGCATGAAAAAGGGGATAAAATAATCCTAATAATGCAACTTTTTCCCACCAACGAAATTTCTCCCTATCTTCCTCCCTATTTTAATGTTAATTTGACGACAAGAATAAGGTTGGAATTATACAACTTTGTTAAGGACGAAATTGGAAAGAAGTTACCTTAGATTTCAAACTACTTTTCAATTTGATTAGAGCACATGGGAAAAATTAGAAAAGCAACACATGGCATCTTAATTGGACATTTGGCAAGATCAAGGAATACATGGTTTTATCAAGTGACATGTGTCATAGTAAAATAGTAAAAGTAACTTGGATTGACCCAAGATAAATGGTAACTAGAGCCTTATGAATACTCCTTTCTCCCTCCCCTTTTAGTGTTTGGATGGCCAAGAGAGGAAGAGCAAGGGGAGCATGAAATTTTAGAGTGAAAAAGGAGGAGGAGAAGAGCTTCAAGTCCTAAAAAAATCTAAGCTTCAAGAGAAGATAAGATCATGATTTTCTACATAGTTTATGATGCTTTGTGTTTTGCATAATGTGGTTATGCTTTTTGTTGAGATTTATAAGCATAAAACCCTAAGTATTTATGCTGTCCAATATTGATTAAGTCATGAAAAAGATGATTGATGATGGAATCATGTTTAACAGATAGAAAGGAAGAAGAATCAAGTGGCTTAGTGATAAAATTGGAAAGAATCTAACTTCCCTTTATTCATGAGAATTTCGGCCAAACATAGGGATGATGCTAGGGCTGCATTTAGAATTAAAAATTGCACCGGGTAAATATAAGAAAGCAAATTTGGAAGCATTGAAATTGAAAATACAATTTTAAACCCTAACCCTATGTATTCGGCCAAGTTGAATTGAAGGGGAAGTAGTTGGATTTTGTTGAATTTGAGCTTAGAAATAGATTATCATGCAAAATTATGTGGGAATAGCATGTAAAATTAATTTTATAAAGATTGAAATCAAAGCTCAAAAGTAAGATGTTAAAGTATACTAAAGAGCAAAGTATAAATGTAATTAATTCTATAGCTTTAATAAATGAATGACAATGATGTGCTAATGTGGTTAGGGCCATGTGATGTCAAGGACGATGAATGGAAAGGTTGATCAAGCAACCTTTATGATTGGAAGCATAGGAGAGTAAGAGGAAAGATTGAATGTAAAAGGTTAAAGGTAGCAAACTTTACCCTACCCTTATATGCTTAGTATTTGCTTGCATGTATGGTATATTTGTATGTTTATGTGATGTTATGAACTGATGTATTTGTGAATGTGAATATGTTTAAAGTATGCTACAGGCCTATGTGTTTTATGATAAATACATGATACTTTTCAAACATGTCATTATGTTATAAAGATGTCAGGTTGCAAGCATGTTATGAATACCCAACTTGTCATATATGTTTAAATGGTTATTATTTGCTACTAAGATTTTTCTTAATCTCAACCTCCTTTAACCAACCATAATAGGTATGATATGCAAAGGAAGAGGAATGCATGAAGAAGAACAAAGAAAGAAGAGAAGAAAGTGATAATTGTGCTTATGTATTTAATGTAATCTTTATACTAATATACAAATGAATATGCTTATCAATGTTATG